GCCAAAGCGCATTAATTCGATCTACGCGTTATCAACAAGCCACAAACGTCACTATTCTGCGCTAAAGTAGGTGAAAATTGTTAATGAACTCCGTGTCACTGAAGCGAAGCACATCGCCACTCACCACTCTTGGCTCCGTCTCCGCATCAACACGTTCCTTTCAACGGACGTCGCTGCCGCTGCCCCACAAAACACCACAGCCAAAAACCTTGTTCATCTCCTTCTCAATCTCCTTAAAACAAGTAAGTTGTTCATGTTCTGGCTCCGGTACGAGAGGAACTTTAAAATCGCCAGGTGCTCAATGCTCGCGTCCATGTTTGGACAACTTCTGTAAACACAGAGCACGCTCGCTGCGGTTGACGTCATCGTGTCCTCCAGTGTGCATGCGGGACACTTTCGGGCCATTTACTGTTCACACAGGGGATCGAATACAAGTTGCATTTAATTGGAAATGTGAACGACCTCGCAAAAACATCGGATTTCACAAAAAAATCTGAATTGAGCGTTAAGCCCTGCTGTCTGAACGTAGCCATTATGTTTTGTTGTGAGTTGTGAGATGCTATGGCAACGGTCCTAGATTGTCATAAATCTGAAAACCATGGATAGCGTGTATGGTAATGAAAGTGCTTATGACGGATTGGACTACACTAAAATATAGCTGACATAATTACTAATTGCTAAAAAGCTTGCCTAGTTTTCCATGGTTTTGACAATTTTGGTGAAGTTTATTATTTCACCTCCTGGTTGGATATGTGCAGGATGTCAACGTTTTCTGTGTAATCTCTCATCATCAATTGGATATATATTATTTAGAACCCTATGTTTGAAAACCTGGAAAATGATCTCTGCCTGGTTATGTATTTGAGCTTGTACAAGGCCAAACAGTATTGACTATGACTCAAAACAAATGTGAATTGGGTCATTAGATCAGACTTCATATCCCTTGGAATTGCGCAGCTCCCTGCATTAAGTTTTTATCAGGTTTTAGAAGGAAGTGCACACTTATAATTTATAATGAGTTATATTACTTGTCCAATCAAAATTGTATTATTTTTAAATAATAATAATAGATATTATAATAATAAATAATAATACAATACTTCTCCTGCACAAACCTTGCCTTATTACCACTAAATCATTGTTAATAAGTAAATTTTTTAATAACATCAGTCAAAAAAGTAAGTATTGTATCTCAAACCCTTTTTCCTCTTTCTTTCCCAAAGCAACGCAAAGAGTCTGAGACCCAGTGCCAGACGGACTCCAAGTTTGACCTTGAGGTTGTTGAGACCAAAGAGACCGTCGCCGTGGAAACCAGATCCAGCGAATATGTGTCAAGGTACATAATTAAGAACAGGTGTAAAGGAAGAACAGGTGACTCAGGAGAAAACTAAGGTGCTCCACAGCCCTGTCTGTCTCTGCAGCGGCCGTCCCACGGGAGTCTCTGGCTCTTAACGGTGTAGCTTTAGAGACTGGGCTGTTACCATGGTGACCGCTCATCTTCCTGATTGGTTGCGTTCACTTTCTGGAATCTGATTATGCAAAAAAAAAAAAAAAGTTAGATGGAAATTGGGGTTGAGTATTTATAGCCCACATTTATATAATTAGAATGGAATATGATTTCAAGAACTAGATAAAAATATTAGTCACTGTTATGAGTTTTTGAAGTTATGAAGTTTCCCCTGTGTAACATTTAAATGATAAAAAATATTTGTCAGTTCTATATTTAACATGCATTTTAGATTTTTCATGAAATAATCTTGAACTTGATCACATATATCTACCATAATTGCACTGATTATATTTTTTTATGATTACTGTCAGAGAACATGCTTAACTAGTTTTGCATTTTAGTATTAATTTTATTTCTATATGCCCAGTTGTTGCACAGATACTGATCATAAACCATAACCAAACATGTGAATTTGGCAGTCTACCAGTCTACTTGGGTTTCCTGCCTTAGAAGTTTATGGCTCACATGAACACAGCCTATAGGAACAGGGAGAGATTTGTGACGCCACAGCAGCAGAGTATGATTGGATGACTCCTGTAGTTTTTATCAAATGCAAAACGACCTTGCCACCCCACTGCCCTCCTCCTCCTTCTACCCCCCTCCTCCTTTTGCCCCCCTCCTCCTGCCCCGTCCAGTACCATAACATCTGCCACAGGGTCAGCGCGTCCCTTTACATCACTGTCAGCACCTTGTCACATGCTTTTTGTTACTCTGGACATCCTAAATATGATCACTAGACATAATTTATGGCCTGCCACTGCCCGCCTCAAGTCTGATCGATGTCGTTTGCATTTTTCAGATCCAGGAGCTCAATAAAATGGCGTTACCTTTCCAAACACCAGGAAAAATCTGATTAAACTGCACTTTTTGCTTAGAAACTGTCACTAGGTTTTACTTCTTGCATTTGATTTTCCCTAAAATGACAAGCAGCCCGCCCTGCAGTGATCCACACGCACATTTGCTGTACTAGAAAAGTTTCCATGCATAAATCAACTGGCAGTTTTTGTAGCTTGGGGAGAATACTCATTAAATTAAGATACAGATCAGGAGCTAAAGCCGTATCGCGTGCATTCACAGTTTTCTTAATAAGAAGCGTCACTCTGCCTAAAAGAGGCTCTGTGGGTTTGCTGCTATCACTCAGTTACACACTCTTAATTATGTGCTGCTCTCAGACAGATAACAGGTGCTCTGCCTGATAATAGTTTAAAAGAAAATGAGGCTTTTGCATTGATTTAGCTGGTAGGAGAGTTTGAAACAGTTACTATACACAATATTGTTTGAAACTTTTAAAATAATAATACAAAGATTGCCCTGACTCCCAAACTTACAAATAATAGCAGGACTTGAGCCATAACACGTTAAAACACTTTTTCATTATTATTCCATGCATATAAAGGTGAACTGTGCATGTTTTCCTGTGGAGGAGCCGTCATCTGTTTGTCTCCATGGAGATGTTGTTGCTTTGTCTGGAATAGCCTGGTATGGCATTAAACATATCTATCGTGCATTTACTCAGTAACATGTTTTTTTAATAACTTAAAAACTTGCATTTTTACTGTGAGTGGGCTCGCCTCTGCACAGATCTGACATGTAACTTGGCCCTATGGATCACCTGTTATCTCTGTATACATAAATAAGCATGATGCCATACTGTGGAACATTCCAGGCAACATCTCCATGGAGAGAAGCAGGTGATGGGCTCTCTACCAGAAAAGTTACACAGTGCACCTTTAAATAGAAAAAGTGTATCCTTTATACACTTGTAGACTTATAACCAGTAAATGTAGAACTGTTTAATGTCATACTGTGGAACATTCCAGACAGAGCAATGACAGAGAAACAAGCAGGTGATGGACCCCTAACCAAAAAGTTACATATTACACCTTTTAAAATGCAGTAATCATAGAAAAGATCTTGTCTTGTCTCAGTCCAAAAAAAGATTACATGATCAAGCTTCTGAAGAATGCCTCTCTTACCATTTTGTTAAACCGATGGAGTTGCAAATTAGTTCCCATTTCATAAAATATAAACCCCACTGAGACTGAACTCGGTATTCGAAGTACATTTTTCCAAGATGAATGGGACCTCTCTGTGCGACTTTTCCTGCCCTACTTTCCGCTGGTCACTTTTTGAGATGTAACTCCGGGGACACGACGAGAGTGCTCCTCGATTGTTCTCAACCCACTTTCATACAATTACCCAAACTTTTCCTTTTTGCCATAACACACTTTTTCCATGCACCTTTTTGACATTGAGAGTAGCTCCATTTGTCTTCTCGCCTTAATGAACTGTCTCTCTCTCTCTGCAGGTATCTGACAGATTTTGAGCCTGTTCAGTGCCTTGGCCGTGGGGGGTTTGGTGTTGTGTTTGAGGCACGCAACAAGGTGGACGACTGCAACTACGCCATCAAAAGAATACGTTTGCCCAGCAGGTAAAAAGACCCCCATGTCTACACAGCATGCTTTTATAGCTCTAGGCATTCCTATCTGTCTATTGTATCTTGCTAAGTGCTGCTAATAGGAGTTATCTAAGATGCTAAATTGCTAGACTAAACATGAATGTTAAATAGTTTCTGCTGGTTTGTGTATATTTATTATGACAGGCATGAAAAATGAGCGCTCAGCTGCAGCAGATCCACATGCAGTTTCTTTTCACCCCGGTTGTGTCTGGTGACTCATGCAGAGCTCCAGAAAATAGATGTTTAATTACTCCTCAATGAGCTTTTTGGTTATAGACAGCTCCTAATTGAATGTCATCGTTAGTGAGAGTAATGCAGCCTATTCTGATCACTTTATTTTTGTATCTCTTAAATCAAATTGAGGTCTCAAAGTAATAGTTTCAAGACTTGGTTTAGTCAAGTTCATTTGGTTAAGTTTGACTAATTTTGGGTAGTCTCGCTCCGTCACCATAGAAACTTCAGCGTGACTTGCTCTAGGTTTAAGGCCAAGTTACCAGGCTATACTTTGTCTATACTTTATCTTTTACTTATTTATTACTTAAGTAGTTACTAAGCCTGAATCATCCTTACTACACTGTTAATTAACTATTTCTTAATATTATAAATTAGGTCTTTATGCGTCCATAATGCTAAATGCAGTGTACCTATTATAACCTACCTACTACATTTCATCATTTATAGCATGGGCAGCACTTCTGGGCAAACTATGTACAAATTACACATATATATATGTACTACAGTAATATGCATTCTGTAGGTTTTTCTTAGGGTACCACTTTATAATAATTTAACTGTAGTTAGTATTAATAAAGCATGGACAATCATAATGAACAAATGGTCAAGGATTCAGGCTTAGTAACTACATAATTAATTTAAGAGGTGACAGTCATTAATTAGTAAGTTAAGTAGTAAGTTTGCATCATTATTCATAAACTCTTTGTTCACTATGAATTATGTATTTGTTAAGGCTATTAAAAGTGCAGTTATGATAAAGTGTTAACTTTTTTAGCATGTGTCATAGCCATATACTAGACAATGAAGTGGACTGAGGGAGTGTGATGTCACCAGTAGCTTTCAGCTCCAGTCAAATGAAGTTCACAATGCTAGCAGTTATATGCAGTCATGTAGTGTGGGTTAATACGAACATTTTAAGACCAAAATGACGAGGCTGAGTTACAGAGAGAGGAGTCATTGGAGCCAGAAGTGCCACCGTGTTCACTTTCTAGGCAGCTAGCAGATCAGCTATGTCCATATACAGTCTATAGTCATAACTTTTGTGACTGTATTGTAGGGAGCAGGCGCGTGAGAAGGTGATGCGAGAAGTGAAGGCCCTTGCGAAGCTGGAGCACCCAGGGATCATCCGCTACTTCAACGCCTGGCAGGAGAGTCCCCCTGAGGGCTGGCAGGAGGAGATGGACCAGCGCTGGCTCAAAGATGCCAGGTGAGCCCCTAAACCCCTGTCCTCTGGAGCTCAGCACGAGGATCAGGGCACACAGTGAAATAAAAAGCTGATGGTTTAGACAAGATGAATCCTCTGGAAAAATAAGGACTTGTCTGATGTGTAGATCATACAGCTCCATCTTATTATGAGCCGTGAACTTTTAGCGCCCTTGTTTAAAATTCTATTGAGGGATGATAAAGAGCTCATACAAGAAAGGAGGGCTGGGTGATACGAGTCTGAAATCTGCTCTACATCACATGCTTTCACTGACACATGATGTGGCTGTAGATCTCTTAATTTAAATATGTCACTGATGATTAGAAATGAATCTCCATTAAAATTTAATTAACTACACAGTCCTGCAAAAAGTGTGCTTTGTAATTTGATTGTTGTTTAAATAAGGTTTTCTCAATTTAAAGGGCCTATATTACACAATTTTATTTATTTATTTTAATTATGTTTTGCTTCATTCGCACATTTAACACAGAAACCCTGTATATTTAGAGCTCTTCTGTCAGGGAGAGAACAAGTGTGAATGAAACAAAACACAACTCCAGGCAACTCCATGGTTTTGATGAGGAAAAACAACATTATAGCATAGATCAGAAAATATGGGCCCTTTAAGTATCTTAATTATTAGGTTGCACGTGCATAATGGTTATACTTTAGGAAACTTAAAACATATTGTACTCTTTGTTGCAGTGCCACAGATTGGCCTATGAGCTTTGTTGACCACATGGAGGCGCTGTCGGTCAAAGTGCCTGTGTCCAGCTCTGTGACCCCGGCCTTCGCTCCTGTGGGAGATGGATCGGAGTTGTCAGTGGATGCGAGGAGTCTCCTGATGAGCAGCACAGGGGCGGGGGTGGTCTTTGGTCTGGATGAGAGTGACCTGTCCTTCCACCCTATGCTGGGACAGGACAGCCTCATGTCAGAGCGGGACAGTCAGGCAGATGTTGACGCTTCAGATACCCCTCACTCCTTTGAGCTGTGCCCCCCACGTGGCCCCACCGACTGCACCTCCTCCTCTTTCGACATTGTGTTCGAGGACTCGGGCTGTGATCGCGACGCCGATGCAGAGACGGACTCAACGTCTGGAGCCACAAGTCCTTCAGCCACCACCAAAAACAGCACCGCGTCATCGACAAGGCATCGGGAAGCCACACCCTCATCTTCCTCACCGCCACGCCCACTTACACTGGCCCTACCCCCAGCTCCGCCCATGCAACGCACACAGCCCTCACCAAAGGTACTATGTCATGTCAGCTTTTAAGTGCAAATTTTAAATGTTTTTAAAATATTGGCTTGTCAAATACAGTATATGGTTCAGATTATTTGAATGCAGTTAGGAAGGTAAAATAAAACACCTGTAGATACATAAATGGAAGTTAGTTTCATGCTATTGAACATTGCAGGTTTTCTCACCAGTTATGCAAAAGTTATGCAGTGCATTGTTTAATTTTTAGATAAAAAAAAAGTAACATAGAACACTAGAAATAAAAACAGACAAATCTACAAACTGTAAATGACTTTGATATTACATTATATATGCCCAGTAATTGAACTGTGTTTTAGAATATTCGTATTTCTTATTTTTAAAATGAACCATTAAGCTGTTTGTTAGGTTCATGTGATGTTGTAATCTTGTTATAAGTACATGCTCAGTGACTTACCCTCTCATGACCTCTCCCCCTCTCCCCCTCTCCCCCTCCATAGGTGTACCTGTACATCCAAATGCAGTTGTGTCGAAAGGAGAACCTGAAGGACTGGATGTCCCAGCGCTGCCTCCCGGACCAGAGGGAGCACAGCCAGTGTCTGGACATCTTCCTCCAAATCGCCGAGGCCGTGGACTTCCTGCACAGTAAAGGGCTAATGCACAGAGACCTCAAGGTGAGCGCGCAGACACACAAAGACAGGCAGGGGGCAGCGTCGAGACATAAAACCACCCATTCATCAATTATATGATCTAATGCTGTGTGCTTGGAAGGACTCTAATGCTGACCGTACAGCTTAGTGTCCTTGTAATTTATGTTTGCTCTTTTAAATATCAGCACAATTATAAAATTACATATGTCCGACATAAGAGCGGGGCAGGAGGATTTATAGCTTATACAGTCATAAAGATGTTAGTAACAGACCAGAGAGACAGTCTTTTATGTAGTCTGTTCTAGAGCAATTTATCAAACTACTAATATTGTAGATCATTTGAAGAAAAGTTTAAGATTTGATTAGATTACATTTATTGTCATTGTACAAAATACAACAAAACTGCAATAGAGCAAAACTGCAGCAGTAAAAATGAATAAATACTATAATTTTTTTTGTTGAAGATGTGCAAAATTGATTAAAGTATCATTTCTAATTAAAAATTTTCTTGAAATGTGGCAAAAAGAACTGACTGAAAATAAAAATTGAACAAGGGAGAGGAAGAGAGAGGGAGAGGTGAAGAGATGAGACTATGTAATATTCAAAGCAAATGAAAAAGATGATATTGCTGCCCAGTTGTGGATAATTTTTGCAGTTCTTTCTCATTTGATACTTAACCTTCAACCACATGTTTTAGCGCTTTTTTGTTGATAACTATCAGGACACACCGAAAAATATCGGGAAATAATTTTTGTCAGTATTACCAGTCTGTTCAGCTGCTATTTGATCTCAGATGAATTTGAAATATGCTGTATGCAGTAAGTTGAGACCTGCGATGTTGTTTGGTTTGAAGATAGTGACAGTGAGGGACAGGAGCCAAACTTATTATTGTATTCTTTTGACAAGGACAGTTTAAGATCAGTATTGGAGATTGAATCATATGAACCTACATTGGTTGTTTGCACATGTTATCGGGGATAAGGGAATGCTATTTTTGATTAAATCTATTTCTTTTTGTCTTTTAGCCTTCAAACATCTTCTTCACTATGGATGATGTGGTGAAGGTGGGAGATTTCGGTTTGGTCACAGCCATGGACCAGGAGGAGGACGAGGAAGAGCCCAGTGCCTTGACCCCTGCACCGCTCCTCACTCGCCACACGGGGCAGGTCGGCACCAAGCTCTACATGAGCCCCGAGCAGGTCAGACCAACACAAAAATGCTATATTCACATAGTCTTATTTGATTATACTAAACATAATAAAGATAACAGAACTATGCAACTTTTTCGTTACATGCTTGTCTCCATGGAGATAATATTACACACTATAATGTGTTTAACTTTATGAATTGTTTATGAATATAATTTATTGAAAACATGAGACAAAGTACTGACTGTTTATGTATTGCGTTCCCAGCTTTCTGGAAACTCGTACTCTCACAAAGTGGACATCTACTCTCTGGGTCTGATCCTGTTTGAGCTGCTCTGTCCGTTCAGGACGCAGATGGAGAGGGTCCGGGTGAGTCACCGCTGCATCACATGAGCTCATCCCATTCACTCAGTTTCATTCATTACAACATTACATCATTAGGAAGAGTGGAGTTTGAACATTAGGAATAGCTAAGTTTGAATTTATTATACTGCATTTGAGATAAGAAGGAAAATGGGCAATGACCAAATCAAGCGTATTCAATTAACTTAAAGTGTGATTTATTATTACGTATATTATCTTTTTAATTAACTTATAAGAGGAAACACATTACAGCTTAAGACCATAATGTTTTCCTATCCACTCCTTAAGTCAAAATCTAAATTGTACTAAAATAACTTTTTAATTAATTTCTGGACAGGTCACAGGTGTAAAAATTATCTCATTGTGCTTATTAGAAGTATTTTCTATTGTTAAAACCAGATATAGTTTATCTCCCTTATTTTACTTTGTTAATTATCCAATTATGTGTGTAGAGTCTGTTGGGGCAGCTTTACACAATATTTCATTTAAATAATCTGCTCCATCTTAAATCCGAGCATTTGGGAGGTTCATATAATTCTGTTTGGCTCTGTCTCTTTTGTCAGAGCACAAAGCCCTGATTAGCTGCGCTCACGGTGTTTACTTCTTCTCTCCAGACGCTGACGGAGGTGCGAGCTCTGCGCTTCCCTGAGGTCTTCTCCAAAAACAACGTTCAAGAGGTGAGTGGCTCTCTGTCGCCATCTAGTGGACATTAAACATAACTGCAGCTAAGCAGGAGTAAGTGAGCTACTTTGTGCCATGAAAGCCACAATTCATTTTGTAAATGCCAGTTGTTGAAATATATATTCTAATATATATTATTATTATTATTATATATACCCAACTGTTATAGTTAATAGCTGAAGATTTCTTGATAATTTCATTTGTGTTTATGCCAATTTGTCTTTAACACTTAAAAAAAACTATGAGGCAGCCTAAGAAATTTTCATTCACTGCACAAGTTTACATTACATAGATTATTATTTATGTACTAACTAAACAACGAATGGTTTGCTAATAATAATACCAGTTTCTCATAGTTTCTTATAGTGATCAATAGATGGATAATATGTAGTTGAGTAAATTGAGCTCTACATGTTGCCTAAGATCAGTGCCTTGTATTTGGCTGTAGTGTTACTTGTTTGTTCTCTTAATGGGATTAACATAATCCTGGAGCATAATCAGGACTCCCACTGGAAACGCCCGGGATCCCACTCTGTTACTGTGGACTCAGCTATTTATAGACCCTCCTCCTGATGTCATGTGCTCCATAGGTCTGAGCGCTGTAGCAAAACCATCTGGATTAATCTACCATTTATTTATGTAATTTCAGGGGATTTCAGTAACATTCTGTTTATATTGGCCTTGTTTGACCATTTCAGTTCAAGTTTAATTTAAAACTAAATGATGATGTACTGAAATCAGTCCTAATGGTATTTAGCGTAGCAAATTTTAGAATATTTAAGCCTGTTTACAAATGTGGTAGGAGAGCAATTCAAGCCTATAGCTGAATTTCATTATACTATTGTATAGTGACAATAAAGGCTGTCTATTCTATTCTATTCTATTCTATTCTATTCTATGTCATGTAGTGTCATAGTCTCACAATAAATTACCTGGTTTTCAAGCATTTTAAGCACAAGCTTTTCTTTTTGGGACACTAAAAATCTGTCTATACAATATATTGTTTGTAGTTTCAAAGATAAACAAATGTAAGCATGCATTAACTCTCCAATTATCAGTATGAAATCAACTGTAGATGATTTTGAGCTTTCAGTTCTTAGATTACTTATCATCTTTTCCCATTTACAGTTGATACTGTATCAGTATATAAAAGTAATGGAAAATCTCTAATATCAGCACTGACTGCCCAGTAGGCCTGTCATGATAACAAATTTTGAGGTACGAGATATTGCTGTAAAGTAAATATAGATGAATTTAATGTAATATCATAATATAATAATATTGAAACTAATTATGCCACTGACACTCAATAACCCAAGAGCACATTAAAATAACAAAAACTATTCTAAAGCTATAATACTGTCAAAAAAGCTGCAATAAATAAACAGCAGAATGAATCACCTTAGTACCTAGTTTGCATCTGTAATGAGTTATAGAAGTTAATAATTAATATTATATTAATATTATTAATTTAACCTATTATGGCTTAAATCTTAAAATAACCATGTATTTCTCAGTAGTACAAAGAAAAAGTACACACAATAAATATTGACCTGAAAAGATGTTGTTCCATCTTTCATATATTGAACCATAACCCAGTATAGTAATTATCGTCAGAGGCGTCAGAGGTGACAGATGCCGAACAAAATAGTTACATAGTGCACTGTTAAATGAATAACCATTTCCCATTATAAATCAGTGAAAAGCTATGGAAAAGCCCCAACATCTGTGCTAACTGCCTTGTGTGACGTTAATTGTCAAGAAAAAAAAAACTTTTATTCAAGGTCAGGGTCAGGGTCAAGGTCAAGGTCAAGGTTTATTTATATAGCACATTTAAAAACAGACAGTACTCCCCCAAAGTGCTTAACAATATAACGTAATATGAGAATACACACCCATTGACAGAAAGTTAGGGACCACGGGCAAGAAGCCTCATATGGGCCCTCTCTAATATAAATGGATAGGAAGTGGGTCCCCTTAAACGCTGGGACATGGGACAATAGACCCCTTTTTTGCCCCCATCTACTGCCCTGCGATGTACATGTAAAAATATGAGTAGAACACAATAAAACTAGGTTATTGACACACATGTTATTGACTCTTGTCTGTATGTTATATCTTCACAGCTGAACATGGTGCGCAGCATGCTGTCTCTGAGCCCCAGTGAGCGTCCCGAGGCTGCAGACATCACTGGGACCCCTCTGTTTCAGGAGCTGGAGCTGCCCTGTCGCCTGGCGGTCCGACAGCGCTCACGCACCTACAGCGCCTCCTCTATGGGACGACCGAACAGACAGATCTCCTCCTCATCTTAATCTATAAAACACCACGCCACAGTACACAAGGAATCACCCAGCAATTTTGTCTTTAGACTCATCTCCTGTTACACAAATACGATCAACGATATTTTTTTCCTCACCATAGCCATTGAAAAGTACCCAGCAGACTTGGCAAGTGTGTTTTATTCCTCAAGGATATTTTAAGAATGGAGCAGATGGGCTGTTGACTGGAGGCCCTTTCTACAATAAATATGCGCCATCAAAGCAACATTAAGCCACATTATGAAAACTGAATACCTCCAAACCATCTGATCATTTTGTATTTTTCCCATGCTGAGGGTCACCGTTTGCAAAAATAGAAAGGATCAGTGTGTCTCTTCTTCTGGATGCCATTTTCAAATACATGTTGTTATTTTAGTGAGGACAATCTGTTTTTGCTTAAATTTCTAGAGTATAATGCCTTAAGTCTTTTTTCGTTACCATATTGCTTGGCATTGAAGCAGAACTAAAATTTCAACCACATTTTATGTAAAAAGAAAAAAATAATTGTACAGTCAAATTCAGTACATTTCTTAAAAGTACAGTATGTGACTTTGTGGAGGAGGCACACACAAGATTATAGCCAAAGGAACAACATTTTTGCAAAAAAAAAAAGTGCAATAAGCACAAACAAACTGAAAAAAGAACACATTTTTGTCAATTTTCTGGCAAAAAGTTACATACTGTGGCTTTAAAGAAGCTTGTGGGAGTTTCATAGGTGTACAAAATGGTCTATTTTTAAGTCACTTCTATCCCACACTGACCAATACTGTATTTGAATGCATATGGTAATGCTACATTGGAAGAGACAGCACTTATCTTTTTCTATTTTCAACTTTTGAAATTATGATTTGATCCCAGGCGGTCGCAAACAAACAATAAATCCACTGCTTGCTTCCACAAACCTGCTGCCAGTGTCCACCCCCAAAGCCAAAACCTCAGGAACCTAAACAAACCTGTAGCGGGGCCTTGACGCTTGGACCATCCCAAACTAGTGAGACTAAAGATGAGCTAAATCACTGGCACTAAAGCTGTGAGCTACACCTGCAATGCCTGATGGGAGACCAAAACTTTTTCTTATTTTTCTAATCAAAAAATTGTGGTTTGTAAAATTTCTGATATAATTTGCCTTTTCTTGAACATTTTTTGCATGGACTTGATAAAAAGAGGAGAGAGCCGTTTCTAAAGCCAGTAATTTGGACAATGAGTTTTTGAGGTGCTCAATCATTTACAAGCACCTCCTTTTTGGATCTTTGTACAGAATGAAAGCCTGTTTATATGTTTTCTTGTAATAATTTTCCATCTTTGCTGTAAATAGCCTGAGAATTGCTTGTAAATGGACTTTTCCCTCAGAAGTGTAAGATAGTTTGACTTTTGTAGGAGAAGAAACGGGACAATTTTTGCCATTAACAGATAAGTTGAATGTTGCAGCGCCCTTCAGAGGTTGCGGTCATAACTTTTTCAATTCAGTGTTTTTTTGAAGGAGCCAGAGGAAACCTGCCGGACCAGAGTGCCATTCGAGAGACAGACAAGTGTACTTTACTGTAGATTCACTTCATTCACTGCATCTAGTCTGAAGAATACTTGGAGCATTTGGAGTGGGATTGTATGAGGTACTTGTTTAGAAAAAGTCTGTCAGCACTCAAAGGAGAGTGAATGTTTTATATATAATAGTTTTACTATTTGGTCATCTTCTTTGCCTGAAACAACTTTAGTTTTGCATAACTAATTATTGCCAAAATCATTATTCTTACCATTTGACAGAGATAAAAATACAACTACCAGTAGATACAAAACTACAACCATAGACTATATATAAATGGACGCTTCCAGCTCCATCAACTCTGTTTCCAATTGACTTTATGCTTAAATGTTGCCACCCGTCTCTGCAACTGCTGAAGTGAGTCTCATCGTTTTGACCTTAAATGATCATATTAACCCCGCTCTTCATGATCTTGGGATTTTTATTTCGCTGTTTTGTCAGGAAGTTAATTTCTGTTCCTAATATGCCAGCCTTGGTGAGCTTCATTTGACTGGAGCCGAACTCTATGGGTGACGTCACTTTTTTGTACAGTCTATGTCTACAACTAAAAGTTTCCACCATTTTACCATTCATATTAAACTATTGTTGAGATGATTTTCTGTTGATATTAGGCATTGAAAATTCTAAGGATATATTTTCATACATAAGTAAAATGAATGAATTTAATTTGATAAGTAAATCTATTCGAAGGCTTTAGAACGATGAAAAATGAGGACCATTACCATAACAGCATTTCAGAAGAAAATGTTATAGGTTTTAATGGTCAAAAATCCTCAAAATAACTATACTGGAGACTATTCCTCTACAAGCCCACTCCAACGCTCACATCACTTTAACCTTGTGCTTCTTATTTACACAAAGCACAACTCACCACATGATGTAGTCTTCATTTATGAACATTTAACATGGGAGATTAGGACTGTTTGCCTCCTTCAGTTTCTCTATGGCAGACACGGACCTGCTTTCACCTTTGACCTTTTGTTTTGTATATACTGAACTCATGGGAAGAGTCACATGACCTGTTTGTAACTGCACACAACGTACTTTTCTTCAGTGATTGTACTTTTGTAAGGAATATTTTGGTACAATTTATTACTCTTCAGGATTTTTATTATGATAATGTCCTGTATGTTTTCCATAAAGTCAAATCATTCAAGTCTTCTGTTTAAGTGTATAATCCAAATTTAAGAAAAAAACAGGAACTTGTAACTGGCAAAATGAAGGATTCCTGTACATAGTGACATGCACATATCAGGCAGAACATTATGGCCACAGAAAGAGGAAGGAAAATAATCTTTGTTATGACAGCTGTTGATATATTAGGCAATATTTATTCCCCACAACATGAAAAACTTGAGAACTAAGGATTTTTAAGAGTTTAAGAAGATATTTTAACTGACATGTAATGGTCAGAGCATCTCCACGTCTGCAGTATCCAAAGTTGCCCAAAACAGCCCATGTTGGAGTTGCAATACAACTGAATCAAAGTTTGAATAGTCAAGTATCAAACTACAAACACTAATATTTCAGGTAATGATGTTGGCTTCAGAGAACTGCGTTTCCCTGTGTCTCCATGACGTCTTAGAGCTACATTTATCCAGCCATGTCCTCAAATGCATGCAATTCTTACTGGTTCCCTATTCACATTTTGTTTACTCTTGAATGTTAAAGGTGCACTGTGTAACTTTTCTGGTGGAAAGTCCATCATCTGCTTGTCTCCATGGTGATGTTGTTGCTTTGTCTGGACTGTACCAGTATGGCATTCAACGTGTCCATCTTGCATTTGCCCAGTTACATGGATTTTAACTGACTTAAAAACTTGCTGTGAACTTGTAACTTGGCCCTATGGCGTCACCTGCTGTCTCTGTAGAGCTAATTAAGAGTAATGCCATACTCTGGAACATTCCGGGCAAATCTCCATGGAGAGAAGCAGGTGACGGACTCTCTACCACAAGTTACAGAGTGCATCTTTAACGCTCCTGGATCAAAGTTTGCAATTGAATAATGTTGTAAGAATTTTCAAGAAAATATCACAATTGCAGCATGAATATGACTCTGATCCAACTGACATGATAGAATATATGATAGAAATACATTACAAATACAGTTTATGGAGGTTGTATCAGGTAGTCATAATGTTATGCCTGATTAGTGTATATTAGGTAGTGACTGAAATAAGACATTATTTAGAAGCAACAAACCCTTCCACTTAAACCACCAAGTCCTCATCGATAACAGACTGACTTTTTGACAATGGCGTTTTAGTTTTTTTTTGTTTTGTTTTTTTGTTCTCTTTTTTGACAATTTGAAAATCTTAAAATGTTAACACGTTTTTGTGATTTCACTCCTCTCTCTTCTCCGTCTGTAGTTGTGGCATTACATGTGCACAGCGCTCCCTACCTGTGTCCCATTGTAAATATGTTTATTTTCACTATTTATGTTCCTGAGCCGTGATCAATCCTTTGTGGGTTGGTGTTATAATGAATGCGCTTCAGACCACGGAGTGCGTTGGATTAATGACTTCTTACAAGTCCGAATTTAATAAACTGTTCTATTCCATTTCTTTTTCATGTTGTGATTTTTTCTGTATTTGACTCCAGTTTATGTTTAGTTTTGATCACATGCTCAAAATAATGAGTATTTGTTTATTTATATTTTAAAGGGACTTAATGTTGTTTCTTCATCACAAACATATCTGGAGCTGTGTTTTGTTTCATTTATGTTTAACACATACACCCTGCATATTCACGCTGTGTTAATCTCTCAAATGGATAACACTCTGTTCAACCTTGTGATGCCATGTGATAATACAGAAGTGCTCCTCTGTGTTTTTAAACTCCATACATGGTCACTAGAATTATTTGGATAATTTCAGACCTGGAATTGCCAATCTCTGCTGGACTAAAGGTAAAAGGTGACTGTTAACTTGAAAACTACAACTACATGACATCACACGGGTGGAACAGAGCATTTTGAGCTTTGGGGATGTAGACAGGCTATAATAAAGGATTACTCAAACATGTGTGAATGAAACAAAACACAACCCCAGGTATGTTTTTGAGGAGGTAACAGCATTATAACATGACTTAAAGCTCACAGAGTCAATTTTGTGTAATATAGAGCCTTTAATTTTGTTAACCATTCATTGTTTACTGAAAACATCTTAACTATGATTATTTAAAGGGCACAATATCTTTCTAACAACATGTTAGCCTATCCAAGTTATCATCCCCACAGGCTAGTGAATCATTTCTTACACATCAACAAAGGAAATATCTGGAAACTCTTAGTTAAGATGGAAACTATGCAGTAAAATTATGCAAAAATGAAATAACAAAAAATTAAAGTGTTGTTAAAGAAATTTTAACATTTAAATGAGTTATATTTTAACATGTATTGCAAACTATTTTATCTTCTAAATACTAAGCCATTTTAAAAATGAATGGATTAACTGACACATCGTGTTAAGATTAGGCTATTAGATTTGTTTGTGCACGTTAATACACGCGACACACCAAAAATAACATTCTATTTTTGCGTTATCTGGTTTTACTGGACATGTTCGCTCCATACAACGTTGTACATCACGTAATAATAAAATGAGAGCACGTTTATTGAAATGTGTCTGTCTTGCAGCAGCAAAGTCTCCACAAGTGTTTGGTGTAACAGAATAATTTATGATGGGCCCCTGGTTTAAAGCCCCGCGCGTGCGTCCGTGCGTCCCTCCGTTGCGCATTTCCGTCGCCAGGACGTCACTTCTGGATGTCAATATGCGGCTCGGTGCGGCGCAGGGAAACAGAGCCGCTGTGAAGATGTAAACCAACCGAGCAACCTGCCCCAGAGCGAGAGCCGAGAACCGAACAAGACCGAGTCAGACCTCACCGGCACCGGAACACACACATCTCCGACCCGCGCCTGCACCTCCGACTGTCTCCCTCTCGCGTCCCTGGACTCTGTAGCAGCCATCTTTAGTGGAGGATGTCGCGGGCCTCGCTGCTGCTCCTAGCCGCGGTGCTGCTGTCCGCCGTGGGGCTGCTGTCCGGGCTCCCAGCGCTCACCGAGCCAAAGGACTGCGACAAACCGTGCATGAACGGACAGTGCAACCCGAGCACCGGCGGCTGCGTGTGCTACCCCGGCTGGGTGGGGGACCAATGCCAGCACTGCGGAGGACGGTTCAGGTACGTACCGGGCAATGTGCATGGCACCACTCCGCCACAATAAAGCCGCTTTCATTGCACTATCCCAGCCAGCGCTTTGCCCCGGACGCACGGGTTGTTTTTGGTCCTGGCGTAGTACTGCGAGCTGGCAGGTGATCTGAATTAAAACACGACTGAATGCACTCACAAGTCCTAAAGAAAGTCTCTCATCGTCCCACGTTAACAATAAGCTGCATCAGTTTTACATTAACTTGAATCACAGACGTAACATGACATAAACATAAACATTGTTTATTCACACTATTGCTTGATCGGATTTCATTTGGCCTTTTTGAATTTGCAGTGAATAGTATGTTCCTCAAATAACTCAGTGCAAGCATTTATTCCAGTAGCTTATCTTGTAGTATTTGCAAAGCACTTATGGAAAGCTGGTGACTACTTGAGAATTGGCCTGTAATATATAATGTTCATGACAAATGGATTCAGTGCAATAATCTGCTTCCCTACCAGGTATTAGGCTTAAATTACTATGTTGCTGTATCTTCAGTAAGTATATGGACATGTGTTGGATGACCACATGACTCCAGTCTGCAGTGGTCAGTGTCTATCCAGAGTGGTAAAGGGAGGATAACTGTGAACTTGGGGTCAGATGCTGCACGTGAGGAGTGGAGCCTGTGTTCTCCAGACAAGCTTATAAAACAGATGATGATATTATTACAGAAAGCGTCTATATATGCTGTCCTTTTGTGTAGAGCTCCATAATACACAACTCTTTGGTGTATTAGCACTAAAGTTAATTGCCAGCTTTCCAATTTGGATATAATATGACTTGCCTTATGTAACTTTTTTTGGTGCTCAAATACTGTTTAAAAAAAAAAAAGAAGAAGAAAAAAAATCATGTATTCATACTGCTAGCAGAGTCACTTCTCCACAGACCTGTAACCTGGCCTGGACACGCTTGTCTCCATGGAGATAGCAAAGTTTAATTTAGACTTTATTGATCCACAAGGGAAATTATTTGGACACAGTAGCTCACACATATATATATAAAATAACATATATTATAACAAAGAGCAAAAATATAAATGGCAATAACAAATTCCATATAAGTTGCAAAAATAGAGAGACTGGTGTCAAAGTAGAAATACATAAAATAATATTGTGGAACATTTTCTGCAAACCAATAACATCACCATGGCGACACTAGAAAAGTTACATAATGCGCGTTGAAGTAACTAGACTGCCTTTTCTTGTAACTTCTGTTCTTGCTTTGTTATCTATGCATTTGAAGAGTAAATACATGTATCAGTATTGGCGTTGGTACAGATGTCATGATCTTTGCTGGTTTTGTTTGTCTCCCTCCCTGTTACGAGCGAGATGTTTTGATTTGTATCCCGTGGCTGAGTGGCATGTTTGATCTAGTTTCAAGCAATTACAGTGATAGTAGTAATAAAAAAATTTATATGAAAGTGATAACAGCCTTAAACCACTACGCAATGTGGTTCTGTATAGTAAACTCTCATAGACCAAGATCCAGATAAAATGAGTTGATGAAGACTAATTGCTGTGAGCTATAGACCGCTTTATTAATTATAGTGTCCAGGGCAGTAGGAGACCAATGTTCCCATTTCCCCATGAAAAATCTCTGAGGAGGACTACCACAACTGCAGTTAGAGGGAATGTTCTAAACAAACTATAATCCACAAATGTCCTATCTGTAACTATAGATTTGTAACTATATTGTGCTTTATTGCTTTCATATGTACTTATTTATGCATTTTATTTATTGTTTATTTGATAGGAACAGATGCAACATGTTGTAATGTGAAGCAGGTTTTACAGTGTTTATATTCTAATTCACAGGCCCCAGAAGAGGTTTTAACAACACTAAAAATACTTATAAACACAGTGAATTTGTCAAACTATATCCTATATCAACATAGGGCTGACATCGATTAAATAGATTAGTCGAATTGTAAGTTCAAAATGATTAGTTTGAAATAAAACCAATTTTATTTCTCTGATTTTCTCGCACTGTGTTTAATGCAGCCCCAACACTGTTATGGTTAGTTTGTTCCGTCTCATTCATAAAATGGAGATTGATTTTTCCCGACGGCCAATGGGTTAAATATGATCACTTCTCATTATAATGCTGTAGTAACATCAGATGCTTTAACTGCTTGTAGCTTCTATTTTGTGTTTAAGCTTTTAATTTCCAGTCCACTTAAAAAAAATCTTTAACCAAATGGAGCTTACTATTTTCTGTACTATTTTAATTGAAATAATAATGTATATTTTTTTACTTTTAGATTGAATAACTCAGCCCTATATCAGCACCTTCCTGAAGTAAAGTTGGTCAGGCTATGTGTATTGTGCAAAACTAAGATAAATAGATCTGTAGGGTTACGAAATCAGTATTAAGTCCTCTTTATCTTATGCCAGGTTTATGCAATTTGAAAACAACTACTGCGTAAGTAAATTTGGAAATCAATCTGGGTGCCCATTTGGGACATCTATGGTTTCTATGGCTACACGGTTATCATAGCATCATTAGCAGTGGTGTGATTTTCCAGTGTTTTAAGTTCTGTGTAAAAACATAAGAGGAGAAGGAGGAAAGTGTCCAGCAGTCAAAACCAACATGATTTGAACAAGTTCAGCAAGTTTTATTCTGACCATATCCTGAATCAAACACAGGAAATTACTCTATTACTCTTTACCTGAAAAAATACTGAAGTTTGGTTTATTGCACTGTAAAAGCAAAAGGAAATGGGCAGAACTGGGGCTGGTGGTTTATTCAGATCTGGGCGTTCTGCTTTTAGTTTTGATTTGAAAAAACCTTTATTGATCCACAGGAAAGGAAATTACAGATTAGTTTAATTTAGGCTTATCTCCAGAAATGACAAATATTGACACTTGGACCCAACAACAGTAAAATCTAATACAACACCCTTCCTCTGGTATGTGACAGTTTTATGAAAACAATCTTTCTGAATGATTAAAGTAAGAGACATAAATGAATGGATAAAAAGCACTATACTTGTGGGTTAGGGTTAGTGGTTTTCAGTCCCAATACTGATTCCGATACTATGGCTTTAAGTATTTGCCAATACCCAATATCAGTGCAGAGACAGCATTGATCTCCTTAAAGTATAAATAAAACAAGACACAACTGATTGAAATGTGTATTATTTATCTCTCAAGTAACTACAGAACAATAAAAGGTCAAACATTATGAGATTTTATGGGCCAAATACGGTCAGTAAATAGTCTTATTCCATCAATGTTCAACCAGGATATTGTCTGAACCGATATTTGGAAGTTGATATTGGCGCTGATATCCGATACAAGTATTGGATTAATCTAAATACTTTTTTGGTTTAGGTTGAATTAAAATTACTTGACTGTGGATCTTTAATTAAAAACATGAAAAATCTTGACGCTGCTCATTGTGGCATAGTGGTGCATTTTGGCTAATTCATCATTTTCAGTCATGTGCATTTTATTTCAGATTTTTGTTCATGGCAGAATTGCTGTACATTTTGATGATACATGACCTATTTTTGCTATTTGTATTTTGGGTTGGTTTCCTCTTGTTCTGAATACTTTATTTGGCATAAAACTCAAAATCCTTTACTCAGGACATAATGTTTTTGCGGTACTTGACTTGGCTGTCCCAGGTCATACAGACTCTCAGAGTCTAAAAGAGGAGCAGACAGCCTGTGGTGAGTGGACAGTGAGTAGACTGCATGGTGGAGACTGCTCCAAAGAAAGGGGTCAAGCACTTTGTTTTGTATCGCTGATCTACTTGTGAACATAGACTGTATATAAATGGACATAGCTAACCCACTACCCGCTCCGGTTCTAAATAGGAAGTGAACATGGGGGTGCTGGATGTACCCCCATGTCATCGACTCTGGCTCCAGTTGACTTTACATTAAAAAATTGTCATCCCTCTCTCTGTAACTGCTGCAGTGAGTGTCTTCATTTTGTTTTTAAAATGTTCATATTAACCTGATCTTCATCCTGGTGTTTTTTATTCTCTTAAGATGCTTTGTCTTTGTCTTTGTCTTCTGTGGCTATCCAGGCTACTTTTGGAATGAAAACATAAAAAGGAATCGAGCCAACTTTGAGGTCTTACAGTGTTGCTGAACTGAGTTCCCATGATGCTACTTGTATTCATTTGTACCTGGGTATTATAATTTAGTATTGGGTTATTTCTTCTCATTGCTAATTGGTGGCAAATTTTTCTTTGCCAGAAGATGTCTGTTAGATTACTGTTCTCTCTCCTCCCCCTCCTCTACTACATCCATGTCTAAGGTGACTCTTAAATGTCCGTATATGACTTAACTTTAATTGTTGATTTTTGCACTTTGGTAAATGACATTCCAATGATATTAACTCAAAATAGTTTCTATGTTTCACTCATATGACCAAATTCCTGCGCTTTCAAATAAAGTCTTTCATTCAAGTCTAGCCCAATAGAGGATGCACTGTTGAACATTATCACTTATTATCCACACAGTTGACCATTCATCCAATTAAAAAAAAGAAAAAAAACAAGTATTTTTTTTTTGTAACCCATGTAATTCTAAAAATGCAAGATGGAGAAGTTTCATGTTTTATTTAGGCAAAGCAATAACATCTCCACAGAGACTAGCATGTGACCAACCCTCCACCAGAAAAGTTTCGTAGTATACCTTTAAATATGGCGCTTATCTGATTTGATCTTAGATAAAATGTCAGACTTTTGCCCACTCTTCTCATATTTCACATTTTTATTATTCTACTATGCGGCCCTCGTTTTAGCAAAGAGTTTGTGATGCGGTTGTCGTGGAAACAGCATTCTCGGTCCATGATGCTCACCTTTTGTTGCGTTTCTCCTCATTTCCTTTCCTAAGGCCTTGTCCACTCTTTCTGTCTCTCTGCACCAAACGTTCAGCCCCCTCAGGTTTGAACAAGCGATTTAATGAGGACATGAGTGGACAAAGCAAAGGTGTCCAAGTCTCATGTGATGTTGCTGT